TGGAGGAACTTGGTGATTCTGATACTGACAAAAGGAGGTGTGGGTGAGGTGACTTGGTGACAACGCTGACAATAAGAATAATTCCAATTTGTGTGGGGTTTTTTTTCTCTCCTCCATGGGGAATAGCGGTGTTTAACGCTCAGTCAATCACTTAGAGAGGCATCTCAGACTAACGTCAAATAAACTATGTTTGGCTTGAAATAGGCTCCTAGACTCAAGTAGTCTCTTTATCTTTGTACACATACACACACACACACACCCTCTGTTTAACCCACGCACAGACAGAAAGATATATCCCTTTATCTTTCAGTGTAGTTACATTTCTCTCTTTAACCCACACAACAACACACACTCACGCACGCACACACACACACACACACACACACACACACACAGCATACTCAACCCCATGGCCTGCTGTGTGTCATGTGAACGGCCAATTGAGGACGGGGAAAGAAGGCCTCGGCTTAATTAGGCTGAGACCAATCAGAGACGATGGAGTAGGACACTGTTGTCTGGCGCCTTGGGGATTCTCGGCTCCTGCACTCATCTGTCACATGGACACACACACAAACACACATGCAAATTTAAACTACACACCCTTGTGTATCTTGGTACGCTGATTCTGCATGTTCTAAAGTTTCCGTGGTTTTGCCTTGTTCATGTGACTGGATGTTTGTATGACACCTGTGTGTGAGCAAGTAAACGTTCATGTGCCTTTCATTTCCACTTCAGTTTTGTTTCTGCATGTCTGTTGTCTCATTAAAAGTGAGTTATAACTTCTGTTCAGCATTTATTTTGCCCTCAAGCCTACTGAGATATCATGTTTTGTTTACATGTTTTGTTTTGCACCAGAAATAAAAATGTCATGTTTTTAGACAATACAAAGATAACACAATCCATAACCAGAGGAGCATGACGCATCTCATTGTCATGGGTTTGTTGAGGTTTTTTGCTTTTATTAGATGTATTTATGGATCTGCAAAGTGCACCAGTCCAGCATGATCCCAAGATGTTAAAGCTGTAAGCCTCAAGATTCTGGTTGATTTGGCAACACCTGTGGTTACCTCAGTAAGTGAGGTTTAATTCTACAACATTACTTGAGCAGCTACTTTGTGAGAAATACAACAGAAGACTAAATTGTGCATCTGTTTAAAGTGCAACCAAGCAAACTCTTTATTGTTTAAAGAAAGAAATCAGTCAAAATAATTGGAAACGTGATCTGATTTCATCTGAGCTGCGAGTATTGGTGAGTAGTAACAGTAAGACACAGTAAAGTAAAGCTGGAGGTGTCGCCTGAAGCTCTTCATCTAACTCCTCACTGTAGCTGCATTGTGTTTCCTGTGACTGCTCACTCACAATAAAATCCACCCAGTGTCTTGTGATTTGAACGCTTTTCATGTGAAGCAGCAGCAGTCTGTTTGCATTAGCAGTAACTTAATGCAGCCCTGACATGGTGTAAAGAGAGCAAACAGTAAAAAGTGAGGCTGATAGCAATGAGACAAAATTGCACTGGGTAAAATGTGTGCTCTGTTCTCCTTGTGAATCCTTCTTGTTAGGTAGGCGATCTTCCACCACCAAGGAAGGGTGGACTCCGCCGCTGCCAATAAATACGACTAGAGAAATAACCTTAAAGGACAGTCATAAAACATATAACAAAAAATTAGTCAATATAATCTTAAAGCCAAAAACTGCATCAATCTGTGCAAACCAAACCAAAGGATATCAACATTAATACACCTAAATTCAACAAAAACATATTAGTAGCTCAAATTTTATTTCATCTTGCTCATAAATAAGCTCTGACCGGACTTAACCTCCAATGGCTGTTCTTCACAGGGAAAGCCCAGATTCAAGTAATCTGTCATTTCTCAAGAATATGCTTCTTTATCTGATGGTAATGTGTGTGAGCATGTATAAGTTTGTTCTTTTCAGTACTTACTGACAAAAGCCTACACTCCCCCGTTCTTTGAGGGATGGTCGCATCATCAAAGATTGTTGGTGAAGACAGACAGCGACATCTGTAACACACACACAAAATGATAAATAGCCCTGACCACACCCCCGACAAGTCCAATCATCTGCCAGTCGCCAATAAGGCCGACAAGAAGCAGATGATGTCAGTTTCCCCTCTGTATTGAGTTATCAGGTTGATTGAGTGTAATTGAGCGATGCATCGGAGTGCGGAGAGAAGACACCAAGCCTCTGGAGAGCCTGGAGGAGGAGGAGGGAGGAAGGGTGTTTCAGGAACCAGGAAATGCTACACGGCACCGGGGCCATGAGATTAGCACAGTCAATGACTTCCAGCCTCGTAATCCATTAATAGGACTGATTGAGCCCGCACCAGATGAAAAATTTGAGTCATACAAATACTTATTATGTCTCTTATCTGCTGCATCTTCAGTTTAGCACCAATCATTGTTAAAAAGTGGGAGAGAAAGTAGGTGCAAATTACAAAAAGTACATGAACACAATGAGATGATTATGTGAGCTAGAATTTTCCCCCAAAAGAAAAAATCTTTGATGAACAATGAACTCTCACTAGTCCCTTTATTAGGTACACCTGCACAGTCTAATGCCTTCCACTCCGAAACCACTTCTAATTTAATAAGCTTACCTTATACATATTCAGTTTTTGTTGACACTGCCAGAAAGGTGATAATTATACTTTATGTTTATTATGTTTATTTTTGAGGCCATAGTGGGTGGTGGTGTTGTACTGCACTGTATTATACTGAAAGGTGTTTATAATATTTTGTCTACAACATTTACATAGATATAGTACATGGGGGACAGAATATTCATCTATCCATTAGCCATACCTGCTTATTCTTAAGGATCATGAGGGAGCTGGAGCCAATCCCAGCTGACATTTGGTGTGGTACACCCTGGTCAGGTCGGTTCACATCTTCGGGCAAGTTTACACCCTCCGTGTTTCTCTCCATACAGAGCAAAAGTATCTACGGTAGCTTCTAGGACAGTGAATGTCTTGATCAAACATACACTTATTAAAAAGGAACGTTGATCATGGCCAACTTCAGATAATAATTGCAGCGCCTTCTTTGGACTTAAGATTTACCAGTTTGGAAACTTGAAAAACTTTCAACCAGTGAGTCAACCTTCTTTTCGGCAATACTGTGGGATTTCCAGCTGAAACCAACTCATATCTCTTTCTCCTCTAGGCTTAACTGAAGTGAACCTCTTCTTTTCTCTTATAAGGAAATCAGTCTTAGTGCACACCTCAGCCCACAGTTCAATTTTCAAGGTATTAGGAGTTTGATACAGTAAGAAAAGAACTTCTAGGCCTGTTGCTTGTGTTTCTCTCTTTATCCTCACAATTGTTGCACAATTTATTGTTCATCTCTTCCACCCACACACACAAATTCACACATCTCAAGTCCCCTCTACTCCCCTCTCATTTCCAGCTTCAAAGTAACATAATGCTCATGAATAACTCTGCATAAAGGTCCACGGAAAATTACTCAATTATAACATATTTGACTCTATCTGGCTATCCTTTCCTCTTCTCAGTGGTATTATTTGCAATTCCAAGCTACACATTTATTGCCTGAGCTGTTAAAACACATCTTCCAATCGAAATTGGGAGTGACAGCCAAGAAGATGCGAAGGATGAGAGATGAGACGGTGTGTGTTTGTGTACGCTTATGGATAGCAGTCTCTTTTTAAAAAAACAATTTATGCTTCAATAATACATACACATACAACTTGCCTTAAAGGTGGGGTAAGCAATTCTGGAGAAATCCAATACCATGACAAAGTCCATGACATTGAGCAAGCAGTGACACAGCATGTTATCATAGCTGCCAACTCTCACGCATGGACCGTGAGACTCACACAATTGACACTTTTCACACGCTCTCACGCCACACATCGATTTTCTAATGCAGTGAAAAACAAATGTATAGCTGATAACGTCGACTCAGTGCGAATCAATGCCGCCTGGATAGTAATCAAGTGGGCCCTCAAGTGGTGCTGTGAGTTGCAGACAGTTTGTGACAGACTGGGAACATAGCTGGTAGAGTTTGTTTTGCAAAAACATTTAAAAACTGAAGCACAAATCTGCTTTATATTATATAACACACTAAACTTTTTTGGGACTGTGAGCTGCACTTTACCAGAGGTGCTGAAGTTAACATTTGTGTGGATTTGTGGTGAGATTTCTGCCTGATCAGAAGTGTGTTCAGTTAGTTTCCACCTCCTTGTCTCATCCGTACAGTTCCAGACGGTTCGGAATCTGTCACACGGTCTGAAGGGGATACTGCCATGTCAGCAAGGCTAATTCACAGCAGAGTAGGCCTATAGGGGATATAGACAAATGATGATCTCGTAATATTGCAACTTCTTTTCTTGTAATATTGTGACTTTTTTTCTCAAAATGTGAGAGAACACGTTGCCTTCACAGGCAATGCTGTGTAGGCTTTCATTCTCACCTGGTATTAAGAGGTGGTGCATAAATGTATCAGACTGCTCAGTCACTGCAAACACTAATGGACCAAGCGAATGTTTTTTGTTGTCAACACCTTTTGAAGCTGAGAGTGCCTCACAAGGGACTGCAGGTAGCACAAAAGTAGCCTAAACAAACAAACTCAAACAATTCAAACAGGCAGTTCAGACATTTTGATTCTGTTTCAGCCCATGGGCCTAAGAATACACTACACTTTCGGTACATCTATGTACCGATCTATCTATTGATCTGTCTATCTATTTATCTATCTATCTACTGTATTTATTTATCTAGTTATCTATCCATCCATCATCTATCTATCCTATTTACTGAGTAGCAAACAGCTGATTAAGTCTGACTTTAAAATGTCAGTTTGTTGCTACAAAATCAGTCCATTCCCCGAAATGCCTTATGTGCTTAATGAATGTTGAATAAAGACATTTAGTGAATTCTGAAAGACATTCTGTCAGTATTATCATTTATCTAAAAAAATGAAAATCATAACCTCCTGTCTCTCCTGTGTCTTCCTCTCCAGACACTCTTTCAGTGCCTCGCTGGTCCCCACAGATTCCCCGAAGAGATCTGGGAAACTCAATAAAACACAGGTAGAGTAAAGGAAAGTGTGTGGGCTGAGGGTGTGGGAGTTTGCCTATGTGCATACAGTCATATGTCTGTGATAGATTTCCAGTCCAATTAAAAAATGGTGACCTGCATAACTCATCTCAGTTCTCTTTGTCTCTTTGTCTGCTTTCTCTCTCTCTCCCCCCGCTTGACTCCAAACGCTAGTGATCTAAAAAGTAAAACAATATGGTATTAGTTGTGGGATCTCAGCAACCTCCAGAACGTGGGTGTTATGCCTGCTGAAAGTAAGTGAGGTGATAAGAGAAGCTCCAGGCCTCATTATATGCAGCCAAACTCAGCGCAGATGTAATTCATATAGCCTTTATTTGAAGATTAAGGCTGGTTTTAAGAGAAATGCTATGATTCCATCCAAAAATATCCTTGATGTGCCAATTTGTATATTTCTAATCTGCGCCCTTGATCGCATTGTTGGGCTGTTAGGATAAGTATATTTGCGTGGCTGGTACACAATGCACCACTTTGGTTTTAAGGCCTCTATTGTGCTGAAAGAACATTTCTTTATGCAGAATCTGCCCTTAATGTCACATCATTGTTCATATTTGACAGCCAGAGTCCACAAAAAAATTCGACAGGGGTTGGATTGAGTCGTGCCTCTCAATTGAGGCGAAGGTGGGGCCTAATAAAGAGATTTGGATTCTGTCAAACTACATTAGTCACCTACCATTAGCCAGCCAGCGGCACTGCTGCCAGCCAGGCAGCCAGTAGTCGCATACGTGCTCGAACCGCTCAATCAGTGTGTGCAGGTAATTGGTTGCTACTGTGGAGTACACTTCATGGATCTGTTTGTTTGAGAAGTAAGTGTGTTGGACCCTTTAAGAGTGGCGCAGGATGCCAAGCTCCCATTACTCAGACTGATTGTTGTATTCATGTAAACCCTTTGACCTCTGTCCTGTGCTGCAGAGTGACTGTATAAGACGTTGAATCGCACAGGGTTACTGAAAGATGAAAATGAAATGGACCCAAATTAAATCAGCAGGTGAGGGAGGTAAGGACGGTAAACACTGAAGTAGCGTCTTCAGGCATCTATTATCCTCGTAGAAAGGTTATACAGGGAATATGAGGCCCTCGTTGGCAAACGGCATCTGTCAGAATGAGAGAATGTTATGAAAGGCAAAAGGTCAGAAGCAGTGTTCTCCTCACCGTAATCCACAGCTCTTACATGTCATATAGATGTGCAATGAGCTGAAACGTCTGACGTCTTTTTGAATGTCCTTATCTCACTCTCTCTTCTTTTGCCTGCAGGTTTTCCACAAAGTATTGGATGTCACAGACATGCATAGTATGTGGAAAGGGAATGTTGTTTGGACTGAAATGTAAAAACTGCAAGTAGGTATCAAGACTGTTTTTTGTCTTAAGTACAGTAGTAGTGTGTCTGATACATATTGACTGATATCTCTGTCATTATTTTATGAAATTTGCGCGTTGTCTTGCTTGTTTTTTGTTTGTATTTCTTTTTTGATTGTTTTTTTAGGGGACATGTTTATGAACTCTTGTTTTTATCTCACTTGAATAAATTAGCAGCTGTTTGTCTACATGTTAATGCTCCCACTTTGCATAGATTTCATTGCTGTGTAAATAAACTAAAATAATAACAACAACAAGATGAACAAGATAAACACTAAGCAAATGTCCTGCTCTTTTGTATTAACTCAGGCTGAAGTGCCACAACAAATGCACCAAAGAAGCCCCACCTTGCCATTTACTGATCATACAGCGAGGCGGACGAGAATCCCTCAAAGGTATTCTTTTTTTATTTATTTCCTTTTTAGCTTTCATTAGTCAGGTGTTATATGATATGTATTATGTGTGAATGAAGTTACCTGAATTTGCTGGGTTGGAAACAAGATTAATTGTATTTTTTTTTAAAGAAAAATATGATGATGGATTCTCTAAGTAAGGTTAGTATGTTGTCATTTCCAGTGTTGATGAAATTCAGTAATTACATTACAGTTAATGCCACATTCTGTTACTTCAATATTTTGAGCTTGTTTTCAGTCTTACTGGGAGTTTGATGTGGGGTTAAATGATTAATAACTCTGGTCAGATAGAAATTTGACTGCTGTGCAGTCCATGTTGATTCCCCCCAAACTGCCAGTATACCGACTATAAAAGCCAATAGATGTGTGTCATGAAGCCCAGGATAAGCAAAAATTTATACGCAAGTTGAAACATTTGCAGCTTGCAGATGCTTCCTCACCTGTGTTATCCTGGGCAAATTTGTGTTTGTCTTCTATTAACTTTGTATGCAGTCATCCTGTCAAAAAATTTTAACAAATATTCTTCTAGAGCACACCTTGAGACGTGTTAGTTTTGTGCAGGGGCTGGAGGTGTGGGGAAGTGATGCACCTCCCAAGGAACAGGAAACAGGCCCGTCAGTAATGATTTTCATGTTGTGTCTTAGCTTTATCTACATTCAGGGATCACCTGGCTTTGTTCCGAGGATTATGTGTGAACCACATGTTGCGTGCAGTCACAATGGCTAATGTTAAACCAGCTGTTGATGGTCAGTAAATACCTCCAAAATATAGGCTGGCTGCTTGGTAAATCACAATGTCACATTTTTGAACTAAACGTGTTAAGTACAGAATATATCATGTGTGGTTGTGGATGTTTTAGAGCACCTTTGGCTGGAGCTGATCATGATTATTCACATATTAACATTCTCTGTCGAGTCCCTATTTAAAAAAGTTGAAGAGCCTCTGCTGGTTTAGGCAGATAGAAGGTTATCTGCTGATTAATTAAGCCACTTAGGTTTGACAAATGTGACTGCGTCATGCACTGTTTGTAGTGCCACAGACAGCAGTGAAAGAATTCACATTATCTGCTGTTAAAATTGAGATTCTTATGTCCTTTCTCTGCCCCCCCCCTCCCTTTCTCCCTCAAATAAGACCACCAAGGAACAACTCAAGGTAAAGAACACTAATTATACTTCTTATATCCCGCTTTAGTAAAGAGAAAGTGACAGTTTCTTAATGACATAGTTTGCTTAAGGAAACTCTTTTTTATTAACAAAGTGTATGCATGCGATAACAAATGGATGGTATTCAAGGAAGAGCAGTTTTTCACATTAGAAGCAGGGCCTGATAAAGAGTTTCTCGTTATTTTCCTGAAGCTATTAGGCGAGTATTGTTTAATGTCGGTCTCCCACAGTGCTTCATTGTTCACTGTGCTTCTGTAGTAGCTCGTCTAGTACGGACCGAATCAGTGCCATGTGACATCAACAACCCACTCAGGTACACAGACCTGCACATCAGTCAGACGCTCCCCAAAACCAACAAAATCAACAAGGTAAGTGTAAAAACATAAACCATATATTACAATATGTGCGTAACCTGTCCTACATATCACATTTCTTCAGTTTTTCGGGGGGGCTTGAAAATGGCTATGCGTCATCGTGCCTTTCCCAGGGGATCATGAAACCGTACAAAAATATCTTCAGCAGTATTGATGTTTACACAGATGGAATTGTGTTACATTGAAGATTTTCCAGCCAGCACATCTAACAGTTTCTCAGTTCCAGAGGAAAAAAAGTTTATCAAAAGATTTCCACAGTCGTAACACTATGATGGGAATCTTGTGAACCAAATGTGAGTTTTATGAAAGTGTGTTTGTGTGTGAACATGTGAAAATAATACATTTAGAAATGCACAACTTGTCCTTTTAGAATACTACTAAAGGATAACCAGATCATGTGGAAATATGTTTTTTATCACTCTTGGTGCTGTTTTAAGAAATGTGTATGTGTTTGTTTATTCTTTGTTGTGTTTGAAACTCTTTAATGCAGATACTCATTCACTGTTTTGACATCAAGAACATAAATGTGTGTAGAACCAAATAAAACGCTTTTATTCTCAAGGTTATGGGTTTAAAATTCAGACCTCTGAAGGGGTTACAGGATGTTTTTTGTTTAAGTCAAGGAGTTCTAAGAAAAAACACCATGATACTTAATGTACAATGATCTACTGCCTTAAATATGTATTTATGATAGTAGATAAATTGCGTCAATCAACAAAAATGCACGTGCAAGAAGATTTTTGGCTTGATTAGGTATTTTAGGTAGGTAGTACTGAAGTGCAAAGTACTAAATATCATGATTGAAGTAATATTAAAATAAATGAAAACACACCTTTTTACCATAAATATTATGAACATATAAATATTTATATTATGTTGACATATTTGAAAAATTGCATTTTATATGATTCTCAACTACTCGTAATTGAAAATATTTTATCCCTGTGTATATTTAAACATTCAGAAATTATGGCCCAGGTTGAAAATAACTTGAATCAGTTGCAGCACAGGTCACTGTTTAGTTGTTCAAAGCATCATTCTTCTCATTGCGCAGTTGAGAATATGCTTTAACACCTTGAAATCTCAGCATGCGGCAAGTGATTGGTGAATTACTGGTATTTAACATTGACTCAGTGACTCATTCAGTGCAATCATGTAACTGCAATCAGGTTTTTTAGAGCAGGACATTTTTAAAGCTTTCATAATCTCTGATGGGACCCGACCTAGTAAATATTTAATTGTTTAAAGGATAGCAACACATGTTTATGCAACTGTTTTCTCTTACTTTCTGCTGCAATTTGTCAAAGGATTTTTCACTTCCTATGGCTGATAATTATTTCCAGTGGAACTCCATGATTTTATTTGTATTGATAAAATCCATGTTTATACACCCATTTTAGTTCATTCATTCCAAATTGCATGTACTTTACATATATCATTTCAGACCATCAGACGGTGGTTGTGATGTAGATCTGAAAATTGAGTAGGTACAAAGAGACATCATCCAAAAGTTGCATCTTCAGCTGTGAACTGATGATGAGCAGATTACTTAGCAGTTGGATTAGACCTGGATTTCAATCTGGTGCTGACCGTGATGAAAGAAGGCAAAAGCAGCCCAAAGAAGGACTGTTTTGCATTCTCAGAGCAAAAAGATAATTAATTAACAGAGGTCATGGTGAGAGCAGATCGGTGTAAGTGAACAGCTGGATCACTCAAAGTAAGATGATTGAAATATGCACAGATATCATGAGAACATGTATGTTAAGTAGTTTTCCTGATTCAAATTAAGATTTTTGCGGATGTTGGAGCATCCTTGAATGCACCACTGAGAAGGGGGTTTGAAAATGTTTCCTGTTCACAACTGCACAACAATAACATAAGATGTCAAAAAAAAAAAAGTTAAGGCAGCATATTGCTCATTGTGATGGATTACCTCTGTCAGGCAAGTTTCAAGTCTCTGCAAGCTGATTTTCATATTGTACTGAAATTAATGAAAACCAAGTGCTGCCTGGAAGGTAGAAAATCAATCTAGAAACTGTGCTATGATTCAGTAAGAGGCCAACAATAAAGTAGAGTGCAAGCGTTTTGTGCCAACTAAAACCAACTAAAACTTGCAAAATCACCAGTATTGAAATTTAAGTAGATTTTTGTTGACCTTTCTTTTTTATGTTTCTTCTCAGGATCACATCCCAGTCCCGTACCAACCAGACTCCAGCAGTAATCCCTCATCCACCACCTCCTCCACCCCATCCTCCCCGGCTCCTCCCCTGCCTAGCAGTGCCACGCCTCCCTCACCACTACATCCCTCCCCACAGTCAGCACGGCAACAGAAACAGTTCAACTTGACAGGTATTTGAATGTGCATGGCCGGTATACACAAATTAAATATTTGACAGGCTTGTCATAGAGAAGGCAGTTAACCCTCAGCCTTGACTTTACAAATATATCAATACATCTTATGTCCATCTTGGATAAATGTCTAAAAATAAGTTTGGGAATATTTAGTTTTCTTAAGTATCAAAAGTAACTCATTGACACTTGTCTGTTTCCACAGTTAAAGAGCAAACTATTAATAACTAATTCAGCCTGACTTACGACAAATATAGGAGTCCATGGCAACATTATACTCCCTGCTTGCATTCCCTAAAGCATTATGAGAACTGTGGTTCCAAATTTACAACATGATTATCCCAAATAGTAGTAAGAAAAAGAAAAACAACACAAGTACATAACCTGTGGACATACAAGCAAACAACACTAAGAATTTCCAACCCAGGGCACAGCGGTGCTTTAAGCTAAATACTAATGCCTGCATGCTAACATGCAGCAGGTATATTGTTCACCATGTTCTGTCTCTTAGTGTAGCATATAAGCTGGCTAACATTTGCTAATTGCTAAACAAACACAAATTACAGAGGCTAATGGAAAATGGGATTAGTTTAGCAGGTTTTTGGTTTTTGGTCTTAAACCAAAAGTCAAGAGGATCACCAAAGTGATTACAATTTATCCTGAGGGGAACATAAATTTGTGTACCAAATGTCATTAAAGTCAGGGGAGCACAAAAGTCAGTAGGATACATTAATGTCTGTGCAAACTTTAAAGGCAATGCAGCAAATAGTTGTTGAAATATTTCAGTCTGGACCAAATTTTGTCCCAATATAACAGCCTATATAGTGAAATTGAGTGAGTAACTCCCTTCTGCTAAAGTTCACAGACCAACCGACAGACGGACATTGCCATCCCCACGGCCATGCTGCTAGCGTGGCTAAAAACGTGAACAATACTATAGTTCATAAAACATGTACAATTCAAAAAATAATACAGTCACAGTACCGTGTTGTAATTTTCAGAATACATGTGGAGAGAGTTCAAATGGCTAATCAACAACATATTTTTTGTTTGTACTCTGTTTATAATCTGTATTGGAACTAATTTGAGTGTCAGTGCTGAACTAACAAAGTCCACATGACTTCAGATCAAACTCCAGCTCTCCTTTTGTCTCTTTCCACCGTAGCCTCCAGTTATTTCAAATACAAACAACAGTTCATCTTCCCAGGTAAGTACCTCATAATTGATCATTACCCATAATGCACTGCAACCAGCCCATGAAAAGTAAGGAGGAGGAGCGTTCTTTTGATGTTGGTGGTGATTTTCATCTCCTGCCTGCTTGAAAACTCTTGGCCCCTACACCCACTCATTGCTGGTCTCATTTGGGTCTCCTAATGATTTGTCAGTGCCCAGACTCTTTGCTTTTTCCCACACTGGTACCACAGTCTTTTCTCATTTGGCAGGTTATTACAGCCGAGACAACCTTGAGTGGTGTGAGGAAAGGAATGAGGTGTAATTGAGATCTGCGGAGACAGGTTTTTGGAAATGCATAAATATAGAGGACACGCAGCAGTATGCAGGTTGTGATTACTGTAGCCACACATATTGTTGTTTTCAGATAAATTAAATCAGCTACCTTTATGAGCTGCAGAACGACATGGTCAAACACTACCACTTACTGTTAGTCCCATCAATCTAAAATCATTATGTTATAAGTGGAACTAATGCCACCATTTACGTCATATTCAATTTACTGTAAATGCTGGCTCCTGAAAATAACAACAAAAAAAAACATTTACATAAGCCCCCCAGGGGCAATTACAATCTGATTTAAAATGTATTAATTTAAGTGCTCATTGCTGGGTAGAAAGTAGGAATACCCTGCAGAAGTTGTCAGACTGTCAAAGGGATCACAGACAGAAAAACTGGCTAAAATTCACACCATTGACCAATTTAAAGCCTCCAAGCCTCCTGGCTTGCTGGTCTTTAGAGTAAATCCATGCAGGCTCCACACAGAAAACAAAACCATGTCCTTCTTGCTGTGAGCGGATGGTGCCAGCTACTAATGCACCGTGCCACAATGGGATTTTTTTTCTGTGGCTCCCACTTTGTGTCACAAATTGTCAGAGTGTGCCAACACAGTCAGCAAGCGTGGCAGGAAATCCTCTGATGTCTTTCAGAGGTAAATACAACGCAACAGCTGACCTTACTAATCTTACATGTTATACGGGAGTGATTCCAAAGAAGAGCAAAAATAATTCAATTTGCTATTTCTCTTTTTCTGATGATATAACATGCTGTATGTACTGTGCATCCTTTTATGTGGACGCATTAAATGTGTTTAATTCATGTTTTCTACATGCTTTAAAAACACATGATGTGAAGGTGCAGCAAAGTGATATCCCATTTGCCGTGTAGCAACACATACTGTATATCATATTTGTCCATACCACAGTGTGCCACCGTTCCCACCATGATTACATTTACATTATTTCCATGCAAATTATGTCAACAAAAGAATATAGCAATTCAGTATGGTTAGGATAATGTGTGTGTGTGTGGGGGTTCCATTGTATACCTAACATTTCCTTTTCTACATTCAAGTAAAGTGGTGTATAATGCACACCATGTGCATAGAATAATAAATACATAGGAAAGACAGTTAAATTCCAGCACACTGTCTGCATTAAGTGTTTCGAAAACGCAACGTTTTAGTCAAGAACCTTTGTCAGGCACTAAATGCATCATTATATGATAAATTTGATGCTGCTGTTGCAACCAGTCCCAGGCACTAGCATTAGTCGCTAGTGCATCTCTCAAGGCGTCGTGGAGTGAGGTTTAATCACTGCACAGCCCACCTGGCTTCTGTTACACTGTCAAGCCCTGCAAAAAAACATGTTGTTGTTGATATGACCATGCCAATAAATAATCATTAACAAAGTATTTCGATATAAAGTCTATTAGAAGGATTTAAGCCTCTCAAATCTTGCGTCACCAGGACATTCCCAGTACATATGTAAAAATGAACCAATGTGGTCAATTGAACCATAATCACAAAGTGAGAGAGAGAGAAAGTTTCTTTAAAAATGTTCTGTGGCATAGCCAAGATCGCTACTCCACATGTGGTGGATGTCCACAAATTTATTTTGATTAAACAGAGTATATTTTAGACACCAGTCCTCTCACATGGCCTCCTGCACTAAGAAAAGTTTCAGAGGGAAGTGGCGTACCACTATTGCCCTATGGTACCCTGGGTGTTTGCAAACCTTGGATTTATACTGGACGTTCGGGGTTAATGGCAGATCGCCGTGAATACCTTCAACATAGGCTTTGATTTATAGTTCAGCATCAAATTTCACCCATGGATAGCACCACTGCAGCTCTAGATGGATGTATCGTATGTCGGACCGTATATTTAATTTACTCTGTTATATGAGTAATCGGTGTATTTACTTTCATTATGACAGAGAGCAACGATAGCTGTGAGCTGGAGGTTTGCAGTGGAGATGGCTTTTCTACTTGTGTTACTGAAAAGTAGAAGACTACTGAGCCTTTCTTCACCTTACTTTATATTGTCTTCACAATCTAAAATCTTCGTCTTCATCTATCAGAAACTTTTAAGAGAAAACACAAGCAGCCCAAGCTGACCTATTACAGTTTCTGCTTCTATGTGGTATCTCTATAGCAACAACAACCATTCCTATAAAAAATAAACAAAAGATAAATAAAGTTCTATCTTATCTTCCATCTTAAGATGAGGATAAATTTATTCTACATATAGCTTCTGTGTCCTTTCTAAAACATGGACAGAATTTTAAACAATGTTAAAATGGATTTAAGACAGAATGCAACTTTAATGTTTTGTGACTCTAATACCCTCAGATGTTGCTCCAGAAGCTCCTCCAAGCAGAGCCCCGCAGGTCATCCTGCACCCTGTCCTGTCTGAACCAGGGTGAGTAGAATCTATTACACAAGGAATTCAGTAAAATCAGATGTCTGCCTTTACAGAAATTAAGAAAGTACTTTTGATCTTCATCAGGCCCATCTCTCCTCAGTTTTCTTCCTTTCCTCTACATGCTCCCTCATCTCCTCCTCCCTCTTCTCCTTCTCTCTGTGGCTGCTGGTCAGAGGCCAAGTCAAACTTATTGGAGCACAGATATTTGGGTGACAATTTCAATGCGAGGGCCGACATGACGAATACTCAGACACTAATGTTAGCATGGCCTTTAGTTCACGCTACACTTGCGATGCCAACTGGATTTTCACTGACTCTTTGAGGAAGCCAGCAGTCACGGGAAAACAACCGGAAGAGGAGTAGGAGTGATGAGATGCCTTTCGACCCAGATGTTAATTAGATTAGGATCTCAATCTATCACAAGAAACAGGGCAAGAGAACCTCCATCTATAGGTGGATGGTCAATTGTGATTAAATATGGACTATACCCATATATTGTAATGGTTCAGTCGTTTGCAAATAATGCCACTGTTAATCTTATTTTCCAAATATCAACATGGTCTTGAAAAGGTCATAGATAGAAGAATGGCATGGGTTTTTAAATTAAGGTACTATGTATTTGGATTACAAAAAAACTGTATGAGATGTCTTCAACAACGTGTGGAAATTATAAGAAACAGAAGAAAATACAGGGCAAATTATGGCATGCATACAGTACATCACAGTAGCCTGCATCTGTGTTTGAATAGAATGGGGTTTGTTGGGGGTGTTGCGCAACGTTCATTAACATAATCATTATGATTTTACATTCAGACATTGAACTGTAAAGCTTTCCTGCCAGTTTTGTGCAAGGTGTGAAAAATGTTTGTAGGAATTCTATTTTTAAAGCAGCAAAGTGAGATGATCAGGCCAAGACAGGCTGGTTTCTGGATGCTGATGCTGATTGTGAATGAGTGGCAACTGTGTTAATCTCTATGGGAAGGAAACTCAGTGAAGACAACATGGTCATTTTCATTTAAATGTAATAGACCCCTGTACACATATATTAAGTTATATAGGGAACAATTTCCATTTCAATGTGTGGGTAGACGCTTGTGGGTGTCAAATTTTGAGATTTTATCCACAGGGTGCTATTTGCCAACCCCTCTGAGCCAAATGGGTATACCGGTGTAAGTAAAATCTGTGTAGCTCACCATGAAACAATATTTTTTTTGTCAAGCCTTCAACAATTACAGCTCCCATGTGGCTTTGCCAGCTTAGACCTTGGTTATAATTTTGTTGTTTGCTAACATAATGATTATGGTTTAATCGTTATCAAAATGATGATGTCAGTACAGCAGCAAAATATGGATCCACTTAGCTAGTACTGATTTAGGTGTTCTAGTGTAGGGCTGCATCAGAAAGGAACAAAGTGCCCCAAATGGTTTGACTAAAGCGGCCAAGAATCTCTTCTGAACAAAAACATTTAAAGTCTGGGTCTGGTGACTGTGACAGCCATGTTATTGAATCCAAATTGACCAATGATCACACATTTCCTGAAGATGAAAATGGTAAATAGTGGAAGGACAATGAAAATAGTGTTGAGTGTTAAGAGACAGCCTTTGGTTCACTTACTTTAGGCAGAATTGCACTTTTCTTAACTGATTTCTGGATGCTATTGATTTTTTAGAGGTACACTCCAGGCAGAGAACACAAGACACGTTAATAAATTCTCTTGTAGATATCTGTATCAATCTTTTAACAAATGTTTGCAGGGATTCAGGTATGTAGAGGGATGTCTTGTACATCTTCTTTTCTCACATTCTTTGAATGAGATGGTTGCTCTGAGCCTAAGAGTCACAGAAAATACAAACTTTTTCATCAAAGGAACTGCTGCAGTAAATAGGGTGATGTTCCTTGGCAAAATATTTAAAATCCGCCGGTTCAAGAAATTTTGTGCTTTACAGTAGCTCATTCTGCAAGCTAACCACCTGATCCCCACTAGGATCAATAAAACCTTCACAATATTTACCTTGGCTTCTCAAGAGCAGAGGAATCATACCCCAGTGTAAATTAAAGCAGTCACATGCAGCTAAACATTTAGAAATAATGATAATAATGAAAACATCTCTTGAAAAAACAGTGAAAACTGACATCTTGAACCCTGGTGTCATTGAGTCTCTGCTCAATACGATATCTCCTAGATGGACAATCTCACCATTTTGCTCATCACTCTCACAGTCTCTCGTTCTCTGCCTTTTCACAAATTTGAATACATTAGCACGCTTATGAAACCCATATTACTCTGATTTAATTAATGCTATTGTCCCACCTTTCGCACATCTTTGTATGCTCTTGCAGCGGCAACTGGCAGATTTCTTTGGCCTTAATGGCCTCATCCCAGGGTTAATGAGGGCCCGTCTCAGACCTCAACACCCGGCAAGTACCCCTCATTAGAGCAGAGATCGAACCAGTGGTAGGGGCCCTTGGCGCCACAGGAATCGCATTTTATACGCTGCCTCACCTGTGGTCATTGCCCAGAGTTCAGGATTGCTTTGCAAACCACTGTTAATATACCACAGAAAGGTTGTGAAAGGTTACACACTGATGTTACACAGCCAGTTATGACGACATAGGTGGATGGGTTGAAGAGGAGAAGTGGGTTCATTTGTGTTGCGTCCTTGGCACACACGCTGTAGGTGTGAGTGTACATGCTGGGATCAAAATTTAATAGGGGCTAAGGGCACAAATGCATTTGAAAGTTTATAAAAGGCGTGAAATAAAAAATTTGGGTCAGAAAATGCCACCCTTTCTTACATTTATTCTGTCCACATTTTATTCATTTATCTGTCCGGTAGTGTTGACGTGAATATGATCGAGGGCCTTACTTAGAGCCGTACTAACATCATTCACGCTTTGGTAATAAAGAACCAAGATCAATTTAAAAACCTGATCAATGGAGCAAAAAAATGACAATAAAAAAAACACATGGGCTTATCATTTCTATGTGTCAAAGGAGACCTACTCTAGTTACGCTGTTTTCTAGGATTCATTTCTACATCTATTCTTCTTGCTTTTAGGAATGAAGGCAACCCTTTACTTCAAATCGAGGTTGAACCTACATCAGACGTGAGTCTTTTTTTTTTTCTCTTATCTGTGACCTTTGGGATGCTGTTGATTGCACGTGACTGTAAGTTTGTCATTCATCACCTTGTTTTACTTCTCCACATTTTTGTCAGTAATATCGTAAATTACTTGTGAATCCAAATGAAGACACAGATACAGCTCTCACCTTCACTTGTCGCAGTCATTTGCGTTATTCTCTCATTTAGTATAATTTGGCTCGCTGAGGAGCCTTCAGGTAAGTTACGTGTTGAAAGCAGCAAGACAGAAAAAAACATCATTGCTGTTAACAGTGAGAAAGTGTGATGCAGGTTGCCTTGAATGATATTCCAGCAGGCATCTTTGAATAGGTCATTTTCAGTCCTGCAGAGTTTATTTGTAATGGCCTAAACAGCAGTCAGTATTTAAAAAGCACACAGAAAAATGTGATGCTATTTCATATAGAGGCAACATTTTTTACAAATATGCAAGAGCATATTTATTTTAGTTTAAACAGTACTGAAGACATATTTATTGACACATTTATGGAGTATGTACCTTGGGAAGAGTGTGAGATTTTTTTTCTTATGACTTCACTGCCATTGTTGTCAGAAAAAAAGGTTCAGAATAATTGCAAATGTAGCAGAGTATAAAAATAACATGACACCACAAAGCATTACTATCTGTAAATAAACAAATATGTATGTTGCTGATATGTATATACACAGTATGTCTTACCTCTGAAACTCTTAAAGGCTTAGTTCGGAGGAAGTTTTAGCAGATTGTAATCCTCCAGCTGCTGAATGGCATTTGCCAGAATCTAAGCATTTGACATCTCAGTAGAATATCTTAACACCACCTCTTTGTGTTAATAAAAATCTGTAAATCTGTGAAATGCAAAACCAAAGATAAATTTTGCCTTCCCACAGAATGAGGAGGGCAACGATGAGGACTCTGGTGACGAGTTCGAGGAGATGAACCTCTCACTTCTGTCGGCTCGCAACTTCCCACGCAAGGCCAGCCAGACCAGCATCTTCCTGCAGGAGTGGGACATCCCGTTTGAGCAGCTGGAGATCGGGGAGATGATCGGTAAGGGACGCTTCGGCAAAGTTTTCCACGGACGCTGGCACGGTGAGGTGGCCATCCGCTTGATCGACATCGAGCGCGACAATGAGGACCAGCTCAAGGCTTTTAAGCGTGAGGTGATGGCCTACCGTAACACTCGCCATGAGAATGTGGTGCTGTTTATGGGGGCCTGCATGAGCCCACCACATCTGGCCATCATCACCAGGTAAGGATTAAGATGTAACAGGTTGTGTTGTTCAGAACGCCTGGAAATCAACTCTACAGGTGTTGTAAATTAAACTTGTTGTCTCATAGTTACAAGTTTATTCCAGTTTGTTTTCCAGAAATACTGTTACACTTCAAAAAAGAATAAAACCAATAACAGTGTTTTGCCTTTGTTGACTTAGCAAGCTTTACTCAGTATGTACTATATACTAATCATTATAGTATACTGTTTTTCCAGTAGGCTATATAAGAAATACAGGATGTACATTATTATAACAGTATTGACACGCATGGTGCAGGGACAACAAAACACTGAGAGGAAATAAATAGTCTACATTTTCACAAAAAGACTTTGTATCAGTAATTACATTATTTGTCAACAGTCAGCTTTATTTTGTAAATTTTTTAGACCAGTAAGTAAGTACTACGGACTTAAACTGTGACTTGCCACAGTGAATTAAACTTCACATAGAAATGACTAGATGTCTTTTTCAAGATTTAATACTGTCTCACTTACATTTGCTTACAATATATGTTTTTTTCCTTCTTAATTGCATTGACAAGGGTGTCCATCAACAACACACTCAAAATCAAGCATTTTTTGGGATTCATACTGACGTTTTTGAACTACATACTCAAAACCTGCTAATGTAGCATAACATTGTGCTGAAGCGTTAGTTATCAAACATTTGCTGCACAGTGCACAAACAGCATCTAAGAGTACAAATATAAAGAAGGCAGCAAAAGCAAATTTATCCCTAAAAACAAGTTGAATATAATTATAAAAAGCAGTATAGCGTGAGTTTAACTAAATGTGTGCTATTGAATTTCAGGTCCTACAGAGAGAAAACATTATGTGGAATTTGTCTAGTGTAAGGGTGAATATACTGCAGGAATTTATTAAAACATATTTAAATAAAGTTACTACTACTAACTATATTTGGATAATTGGATTTGCAGTGCAAAATACAGTGCATATTTACAAATAGAAATGTGTATAAACATACTGTAATCTCCAAAAATAATAAACAAAAATACATTGCTTTTTCGTGTGTTCTTCTCGTGACCATTTGTTCCTCACTTGTTTCTTGCTGACCACCAAGTCCCCTGAAAGTTGACACACACAGCTCGGATATCTGTGGTTTGCTCTGCCTCTGAACTCTGAGTAGTTGTTCTATGGTTAGGTAGCAGTTTGGCCTCCCCTGGGACTCACTTTAGATCAGCCACAGATCCGCCCCCTCTGGAGCGATGAGTTTAGAGTGGGTGACAATGAACCATGGCGGGGTTATGATTAGAACAGACTGCTATGTTGTTGAATGTATGAACCACCCACACCCCCTGCTGCATTTGTCTTGACTACAGTACGACTGACTACAGCACAGGGTAGGAGTCAGCTTGAATGAATTCTCTCACATAGTGAACATCTTCATTTATTTCATGGATTAGTGTTCACTTTTTTTGCAGCTAGTATTTTCTCGTTTGTAACAAGGGATGTGTTCTTGTTAAAGATCATCTCATTGAATACTTTCTTGTTAATTTCAGTTAATTAGTACAGCTTATAATGTTCAAAGGAAAACTGTTTGGATATTTGTTGCTCTCCTATTGTCAACACAGGCTGTGAACCAAGAAGGATGTCTCACAAAAGAAAATTATTTATCCCATTTGCGTCTGCTCTATTCTGTTTTAGTTTATCAGAAAATCATTTTTTTAATTCTCTGTTAAGAATGAGAGAGAAAATGTCTTTGTGACTGTAGTTGATTCCAGATGAAATTGTCATGAGGTGCAGAGGAGCTGATAGAAGTGCCGGCTGATTCTACAGAAATCCTCACTTCTGATTGCAGAAAATAATAGCAAATGTCAGTGTAACAGGTGACATTGTTATCCACCAATACTCTGCTTCTCCTATTACACAGTAAAAAAAGAACCAGAAACTAAAACATGCAATCTATATCATACTCTTGCAGCCCAAAGTACAACATGACAAACCTGTAAAATGTAACTTAAGTGTGTTTTATTGATTTGTTAAGGATGAGCGTTTTCTGGTTGCATTAGCGGAAACATAAATATTGATTGTTTCTTTTTCTTCGATTGTTTCATTTGTCACAGGTGACTGTGGATAGATTTCGTTGTTCTGTATGGTCAGAACACAGGGTCATCTGTGATGTTACTGCTGGCTTTTTATCTATGGATATGGCATAATTACTCCGTTTCAAAGCACATAGGTGATTTTCAGCGTGTTGAGGTGGACTCGTTACCTTTTCATCAGCTGAGTACCATAAAATGCTGCCTCTGTATACTTACTATGGCATATACACATCCTGTTTGTCTGAGGTAAACTGCGGTAATTGTTGTCGCAAGACATAATGTTTACGTAAAAGTGTTAACTGATGTGACACTAAAGCCATAAGCCGCAGTTCTGTGTTGAAACAAGCCTGAGGAAAGAGAGCTGCTAAAAATGCAGCTGTCGTCAGGTCAACATTGGGAATGAATATGCATGAATTGTTGGCTTCAGGTCCTTTGTTGGTCACCTGCGTGGCACAGTCGGGGTTGAGGGCTTCGGGTGTGAGACAGGGGGTGTTTGCAGAGCTGTCTATTAATACGCCGTTGTGATGGCACCCCTCCAGAAATATGACAGCACCTCCAAGAGGCACAGTGTAACAGCTCTACTGGCACAGAGTGGGCCCACGTACAGTTCAGAACGATGACATTTTATCCTTTAACAACATCTCAAACTGCTCTAACTCACTAACAGTCTCATACATGTAAACTTCAAGGTAAGCCTGTGTGACAAAAACACATTGGACATTAAAAGATGACTCGTTAAATTAAGTGCATGCAGCAATGTGCGAACTGAAAAGATAAAGGGTATCTCGTTGTAGCAGAGTATTTTATATACTGTGTCAGTATTTCAACTATGGATGGTTCCTCACTGGAAGTTTACTCTGAATCCTGAAGCAGTTAGCTTAAACATTGTGGTAATATTCTGTATTTGAACAACTTGGGAACAAAGTAACCAAGAAAGAGACATCATGGTGAACGATTGGTGCCAGTCCACAATCGTTACTCCCAGCAATAGAAAATAAATGTGTCACATCATTAAAGGCAGTCTTGCATTGTTATTCAATGTTCACCTCATATACTACAGATCATAGTTTGTAATTGTGAATATGAGAATTTCTAATGACTACAATATCTCCCACTTGCTGAAAAGTGTCCAAAAATTTGCTACACAGCCACCAATGCTAGCAGTTCAGTGTAAATAAAATATATTATCAACAATACAATACATTTGATTTAGCTAATTAAAAAATGAGCTATATAGTCTACACATCATGTTCTTATCTTGTTTAATATGTTAAGAAATTGCTCATTATAACAGAAAAGCTAATTTAGCCTATTGTCAAGACATAAAATTCCTTATGATAAGAAATGAAAAGAAACAAAAGGCACTATAAAAATACACTTATGAAAAGCATTAAAATAGAAGATAAATAACAGCTAAATTAATGAAATGAATAAAACTGAATAAACCGAAGAATCAGTGTCAAAGTGCAGTTACAGTGCAATGAAAGATATGAATGAATAGTCCCAAATTTAATTAATTAAAAGGCAGTGGCAAATGGAAAGGCTTTAAGCTAATTTCAACCCCAGCTTGATGATGCAATATTTTATTTTTTAGGACAGTAGTGGACGAGGGGTACTCATTTTATTTTATTTTATTTGTGATCCGTCACTTTGGCAACTGTGGGAAAACATTGGCACTGTGATGAGTAAATCATTACACAAATGTGCACTGGATTAGACCAACAGTGAATGATTGTAAAAGCAGACCAGTGTGGTTAGTGGCAAACTCAGGCTGAATGTCATTGTTTATTTGTTCAAATAAATTGCAAAAAATAAATTTCTCCACAGGGTTGACTTGTAATGTTTGTCAAGTGTTTTGATGTTAAATAAAATTATTACATGAGTCTACACAGTCACTTAAAATCTTGTCCTTGTCTTTTTCCCTTCTTTCAGCCTGTGTAAAGGCCGGACACTTTATTCTGTGGTGCGCGATGCAAAGGTTGTCCTGGATGTTAACAAGACCAGACAGATCGCACAAGAGATGGTCAAGGTGAAACAACTCAACACTGATTTCCCAGAACACGTCTGCAGTACACATCATATTACAGAAAAGTCACATCTCTCTCTCTCTCTCTCTGTCCTCAGGGGATGGGCTACCTTCATGCTAAGGGGATCTTACACAAAGACATGAAGTCCAAGAACGTGTTTTATGACAACGGCAAAGTTGTCATCACCGACTTTGGACTCTTCACCATATCTGGAGTTTTGCAGGCTGGCAGGTAATTATGATCAATACACACCAGAGACAGGAGCAGTTTTTTTTTCAGCATTTGCAATACAGGAATTTGTCTTGGAGACAGACTGACATTATTATAACAGTATTGACACGCATGGTGCAGGGATAACAAAACACTGAGAGGAAATAAATAGTCTACATTTTCACAAAAAGACTTTGTATCAGTAATTACATTATTTGTCAACAGTCAGCTTTATTTTGTACATTTTTTAGACCAGTAAGTAAGTACTAGGTTTAATTTAAGATGTATATTTAATTACCATAAAAGAAACAGGACCGAACTGGAAAAGGTCAGTAGTCTCCATTCATACTGTATTTTAAGTAATAAAAACCTTTAAAAAGCTGTTTCTCTTCAGCTGTTCATAGTTTGATCTTGTGTCAGTTTTCCTGCACAGATGTGTGTTTGGTCATGTCAAGGGTTGTTACTGGCCCCTATTTTACCTTTTATCTTTTAAAACAAAATAGGCCAACATCAGGGGGCAATTAGCTATATCCTCCTTTTTGACAGGAAACTAAATATATTATTATATTAATATTTGTCAGTTTACCAAGCTTAATGTTCATGAGTGCGATCATGTACCCTAAATTGGTGTAAATCGCTTGAAATCTGTGTTCTTCAGTGGGAATTTCTTCCATGACAACAGTAAAGATGGACTGAAGACAAACAGTATTAAAGAGAGGTGTTCAAGAGGAAGGCAAAAAGAGTAACAGGGTCAAGGATGAGCAGAGAAATTCAACAGTGGCTGGATAAAGCTGACAGTACAGAGAGTACAAAGAGAAATGTCATACAAAGGAAACAGTGAATCACTGGTAACGATCAACAAGCCATAAATTGGGTTTCACTCCGATAACAAAAAGAGTATATCTTATGTCATTTACCATGGCTGAGCAAACCAGTGATCACATATTGTATCCACTCGAGATTGACCTCATGATGCCAAGCCTTTCATCAACCTTCCAGAAACTGTAAGTAGTGAAAGGCCAGTGAGAGCAGGACAGTGAGCAGTCTGAATACATCTACACCTGCAGGCACAGCAGGATTATATTCACAGTACATAATTACAATATATAATTAGCAAATTACAGCTGAATTAATCTAAAATAAATCATATTGTTATGAGGTAAACTTAGGTAGGCTACAGTATCCACAAAAATTGGCAAACATAAAAAGTTAAGATATTTAAGTAATTATTTATAATATTTATAATATAATAATGATTATTTTATTATCTTAGCTTAGCATAAAGATTTTCAACAAGCAACACAGCCAGCTGGCGCTGTCCAAAGTTTAAATATCTGGCAGCACCTCTTAAACTTGTAGCCCATTGCATTTTGTCAACATCATTACGACAAAAAGACAATTGTTTGCTAAGAAACAGTTACTGTACCTAACTTCCAGTAAAACCAGCTAGTATTTTTTAAGTTTATATTTGTGTATGTGTTAAACATCTGAGAAAAAACATTAATTAAAGAGTCATTTTCTAGCTTTTTTTCCCAATTATTTTCAAGATATGGTCAAACGCTGTTCCTGGGGAAATTGTAATAATAACAATTGCTATCCAGAGAGCTCGAAAGGAGAAGTACAATTTATTCCCTTTCCAATCATAAAACAAATCCAGAAATATGTAGGCTGTTCTTAATGTAACGTTAATGTTAGTTAGCTAATGCTACCTAACTTAACTACTAAAGTTGGAGGGCACAATATAATAAAAATGTTTAATTCCCCTTAACACTGTGTGACCAAAGACCAACTGTGTTGAAATCCTAATGTGGTCCGAAATTGAGGACCAATATCCCACAGCACATAACGTGAGTTATTGACATGTTCTTTCTTGCATCTATTTCTTTTCATTGCATCATAGCGTTACGATGCAGCAGACTTTCATAGCACAATCTGACGTACCTCAAAATTGATGTTTCACACAGACTGTGAATGATGAACCCATAGGCACCTTTAGTAAATGGACAGACACTCTGTAAAGGTTTAAACACAAGAATAATATATACTTAGATGATTGGTACAGAAATTAGCTGGGAATTGCAGCAATGATTTGCCAGCGAGCTTGTGTGCTCACACTCTCTGAAACACTACAATTGCACTAAAAGCAACAGCCCGGCTTATCTTATTATTGGTATCTGCAATGACAATGTAGTGTAATGAAAATGCAGAAGTGTAACATCTTTAATGGCTTGGAAGCACGATAGTGCAGATCAAGAAACCCTGACAAGACTCCATCTCCATGTTTCCTTGTTTTCCAGCCGGAGAGAGGACAAACTGAGGATCCCCAACGGCTGGCTGTGTCACCTGGCCCCTGAAATCATCCAGCAGCTGTCTCCGGACACAGAGGAGGACAAGCTTCCCTTCTCCAAACAGTCAGATGTCTTTGCTTTTGGGTAAGGGTCCTTCTACCTGATGCCCTCCCATTTTTTTGTCCGGACAATAACAGAGCCTGATGTAGGACAGTCATAGCACACTGTTGACAGAGAGGGTTTGCAAACTCCACATATGTGTGTATATTCAATAAATTCTTAATTACTTTTACAGAGCAGTCTCCTAAAACTCCACATCACATGACAAAGAGGCAACTCATTAACAGGTTTTCAGATCTCATTATAGATGAGAATGTAACAATATGTGGTATTGGGAATGACAAATTTTCTTCTGTTATTTTCAGACTTTGGACACCCAACTTATAACAATTTAATGAGAGCAGGATTACCAATTTTAAAACTTAATTGCTTAAAAAATATCAGATTTTGCCATAGACTTCACTTGGTCTCATATACCTGATTATAAGATCCCATATTCTAAGGAACAGTTCAGACACACATTCTTTATGAATAGACTCTTGGTTATGATGAAGCTGGGGGAGGGAATGGTGCAGATATAAGCAATGGCAGTTGGAAGACAGTGAGAGAGCAGAGAAGCTGATTGGAGTAGATAAAGAGAATGCCGTTTCGAGATTGTTTCCCCCATGTGGGTGTGAGAGAAGAGTTGGAAGCTTAGTTGATCAACTGACGCAAACCAAGACAAAGTGAAACTTGTTGAAATTTAAACTGCCTAGTGCAGTGCCCTTTCATGGGGGCCAATGTGACGCGCTTGTTCAAAATGTGCGTTTCACATTTTCACACTGAAACCACGCGACAGTGGCAGAGAGACTGCTAGACATTCAGTGCTTCCTTAGAACCCTTTCAACTCCGTTTCAACACATTTGTTTCTAACATAGCCTATATCAAACCTGCGTGATAATGATAACTCTGCCAATCATCAGCCACCTCCCCACAGCAGTCATTTTTAGACAGTCGCTTAAGAGACGACAGTGAAATGCATTACATCAATCTGACCAGATGGTTGGTAACCAGTTACCTAAACTTAGACATTTATTTGCTATTTTAGGTCAGGTATATTATAAATAATAATAAATTAAGACCAGGTGTGTAGGCACTGCTATGCCCAATGACTTTGTTTAATGTGCTTCTCTGAAAATGATTTATTACTTATTTGTTAAGCTAACATGACTTTTTCATATCAACTTTAGGTATACTAATATATTCAGTATATTTCTAGCTGTTGAACTAACATGTTTCTTTTATGTATTATGCATGCAATATTTTCATGTTCAGTCAAGATAATCTGCTTAAGTAGGTATCGAGCCGTTGAGTTGTAAAGCTTTGACATGTTTTGTTTATCAATTCTACATTACAGTTTCTAGAATATGATTTCTGATGCATTTTCTACATCATTATACCTTATCTTGTTAAATCTTACAGTACAACTTTTACTACTGTACATTCTTGAAATCAAATATGACAATGAGAAAAGAAACATTTCTTGCACAAAAATTACTTGTATTTGGTCAAGTTAGTACCAAATCCCCTCTTTTTCACAATGTTTGGATTTTGGCTCCCATCTCTTACATTGTAAGAAAGATCTATTCACAGCCAGTATGGACAGGAGGGATGATTACAGACACCAACTCTTTTAACCTCAATATGGCATTTGACTTTGTACTAACATAGACTTAAAAAAAAAAAAAGAAACAATCTTTTAAGGTATTTGATCCTTGATGTCACACTTTCAAATAAAGTGAATAAAGAGTTGACTATTCACATCAGAATCTCAAGTCAAATAAAGGATTAATGATTTTTTTTTTCATGTACACAAGAGATTGTAATTATCCATATATAAACAAAATCAGTGTTATTCATCATCAAAATTCATCATTCTAATTTCCCAGCTTCTTGAAGCTTTTACAGATACAGCTTAAGAGAAATCGAGTATTTCCCGCCCAGTTAACACCATCATACAGCTGATTTCTAAATGAGTAATTAACGTAATTTATTAAACGGTAAAGCAGTATTCTTATCTTTTAGCAGAACTCCCCAAAATATAACAAGCACCAGCTTTTGTCAATGATATGTGGTATTTTACTCATTTTGACCCAAATCATCTCACGGACTCGCTTAGTTATTACATACAGATTGCTTTTCTGAGTGTCACTCAGGTTTCTCAAACCAAAAGTGCCCCCCCTCTAAAGTCCAATTTTACATTTTGTCCTAAGTTGATTAGAAATCACACAGCTCCTGTTCTTCCCCCGCTGCCATTACTGATTCATTTGTGGGGGTGGACCCTGCTCTCTCCTAGCACAATTACATTTTCAGATGGTCCCCCATATGGAGGTTTTGTCGCTATATCATTCTAAAGGGAAGAAGAGTGCAGCGCTAGTGCACAATGTCCAGCTGCTCTGTTAGGCCTTGTGTTACCTGGAGGTGACCCTCATGGCTGTTTTACATATTCATCAACAATCAGCTGTCATTTTCTCCCCCTACTCCTGGCAAAGAGCTATTTTTATCCTACTCAAACTTGACGTGCAGGAGCAGAATTAAAACAGCCACTTATTTGCACAGGAAGGGTGGTGGATGCTAATTTTGTATGGGAAGTAATTAAAATGTGTTTTTTTTACTTCTGGATGAAGTCATTCTTCATAACTTGGGGTGTCAGAGACAACATTCATCAACAAAATTCAAGCTTTTGCAGAGATCACAATACAAAAACCATTGGGTTTGATGGTTTATAGGTGTTGTGATGTTGTATTATCCTCTAGACACTCCAAAGCACTGACCCGCTCTGTTACTCTGTCTTCACAGCACCATCTGGTATGAGTTACATGCACGTGAGTGGCCTTACAAGAGTCAGCCAGCAGAGGTGATCATATGGCAGATAGGCAGTGGGATGAAGCCCAACCTGGCCCAAACTGGCATGGGGAAGGAGATATCAGTAAGTTTGTCTTTTTAAATGGTCACAATTTACGAGTCACTCAATATCAATTTCTACAACATTTTTCATGTTGAAGCATCACACTGAATAATACTCATAACTGAAAATTCATCTGAAAACACTTTTTAAAGACAATTAGAAACTGGCATGCAATTATCTGCCAGGGGTTTTCAGTCTGATCCAACATTCAACGTGCGCCTCTCCCCTGGTGGTATTGGCCTTTCCCGTCTTTGCAATGCGTGGTGCAGCATGGTTTCCTCCTTGGTTTATTCACCTTGCTAAACTCCTCCTCCTCTCTTTTCTCCTTGAAACACCTCTAGTCGCAATTTGCCATCATTAGCTAGCATGGCATGGCAAGTCACACACTTAAAAAAACACTTAAAACCCAGCTCAAGATTCTTTCCATATTCCTGACATTTTGGCTTAGCTCATGTAGTTTAGGCATCTATGCCACCAAAATTTTGCTACTTCAAGTACCTTAATTGCCTCCACGAGCTGTTTTCCTCATCCATTTCTGCTGCTGCAAATGCTATCCATGTTGGTGAGCGGGCCAAATAAATATTTGAGAAAAGTGTGTTACGGCTCAGTTTTAGAAAGTAAAAACAAGGACTATTATTTGCGCGACACTCAGTAATTACGCATTCCCTCTGACATCAAGATGATTAAATTCGAAATCCTGGTTGATGAATCTATCTATCTATCTATCTGTCTGTCTGTCTTTTCCAGGACATTCTGCTTCTGTGCTGGGCGTACAAGCAGGAAGAGCGGCCCAGCTTCTCCAAGCTGGTAGATTTACTGGAAAAGTTGCCAAAACGGAACCGTCGCCTTTCCCACCCAGGGCACTTCTGGAAGTCAGCTGAGTATGTCAAATGAGTTAGGGACACAAAACAGCAAAACAGTCTGCAACTATAAAAAAAACAGCCGCCATAACTCTACATAAATAACCCACCTCCTTAAAGAATGCACTGAATCCAAAAGCCAGCCCAGTGATGAAAACTGCCCGTGCTGTGTGTATTTCCATGGAATGTTGGCATGTGTGTGTACAGATAAGTTGACTGTCCAGCTTCTCAAAGCAGTCGGGACTCATATTTTCTTTGGTTTGATTTAAACCATGCAGGATATTTTTCCTTTATCGTTTTTGTCTTTTACTATTGACTTGATCCTTTCATAATATTTGATTTATTTTCTGGATGTATCTTGCTTGTAACTTTCGACTGATCACGTCATCATGGACTTTAAAAAACACATGTCTGAGTACAAATGTAGATTTTTTTTCCCCCATGTCTTCTTTTTGTTTTGAATGAACTGTTGTACATCACGCATTGTATAATTTCACAACATTGTCTTGCCATTCCTTATGTCTGTCAACTGTGTAGACCATTTTGTTAGTGTTACCTCATGGTCTCTCATGTGTGGATGTCTATACAGGTTATATGTTTGTCTGAAATTATTTTCACTTAAAAAAAAGTCCTCTTATTTAAACTGTACCACTGAATGTGAAGAAGCCAGCGTCCCTGTTTGTGTGGCGATGTGTTGGCGCGGTTCTTGGATGGGAGACTTTTCTCTCATCAGCCTGTGCTTTGAATATGTCCTGAGAACATAAGTGAGACATCTGAACAAAAACTTTGTGGGAGAAAAAGCCGTTGGTCAGACTAGGACTCCCTCACTTGACGCTGTTCTGTGAAATCGTTTACACTGAAATGTATCTCGTCAGTCTCTTCAGAAATGCTATCAGAGCCAGAGAACTGAGCCCCCAATCGCCTATTTCCCAGATTTAAATGTTATTTACTTAGCTAATATAATATAATATAATATAATATAATATAATATATCATATAATATAGCTAATGGTAGACACAGAATATAATGGATACAGATTAAAATCTAAAGCTTACTGCTGTATAGTGAGTGCAGTAGTCTCCATGAACTTTGTAGACCCTAATCAGTGACAAAGTACTGAAAATTACACATTAGGTTTCTGAGTGGTGTATAAACTGTTTTATAAAATAGTTTGGAAACCTAAATGGATCAGAGACCTGTTGCTAATGCGCCTGGTTCTAAGGTTTGGATGTTTTAAGATTCATATAATGATGTGACTGTTAGGCAGGTAAAAGCAGAGCACATGACCTTTGAAAAGGCAAAACAAAAACTGATAGGAGTCAAAGTAAACACTGACTTTGTCTTTGGCTTGTCTTTGGCAACATTGCTTAACAGCAGTGTTGTAGTCACTTTGACTTGGAACTCATTTCATCCTGCCTCAACTTGAATTTTCATTTCAAAAAATCTTTTTATTTTTATGCTGAGCATTTCTGCGAATGGTATGTCATAAACATTTCATCAATAACACATGCTGGGTAAAAGATTAACATTTTTAAATATAGTACACTAAAAATTAGTAATTTTTGAAATCAGCACCTAACCATTGTTAAATTACTTTTATTACTCATTTAGAAATCAGCTGTATAAAGATGTGTTCAGACTGAACGATGATGTGAATTTTAGAGGAAGCTTGACTGCATTGCAAACAGATGCTGGATTCACTAAAGGTAGAGCTAATGAATGTGAGACAGTGGCTAAACAGTGACCACTGAGGCTACAAGAGACAGTTATGAGGTAATGCTAAAGGCACAACTACTACAATTAGGCTACTGCTATGTTTAGCATTCAGCTAAAATGCAAAGTAAGAGTAGCGCAAGTGGAGAAGAGTCACAAAGTCAGCAAACTGGCTTAGTAATGTCAATTACACAGCAATATTTAAATAAAGTTTGCTATCATTAGCCAACATTAGCTACCATAAGCTACAGCCATACCAGACCAAGTAAGACTGTAGCAGCTGTACTGGGTTTAGGTACATTTATTGCTTATGAATTCAAATTAAATTGTAAGAGGAAGATTATTTTCTTCTAACCCCATCCGCTACATAGCCAACATGGCAAGCATGAGAAGTGTTTTTGACCATTATTGGTACACCATCTGGTTACCCAGAGTGCACTGCATTCTGCCATAATTGTCAGTGTGTGAAGTGTAAGTATGGGGAAATGCGAATTCAGACGCACCAATAGTCTTGCTTTAATGCAAAGGTGGGCCACTCTAATCAAACAATTTTTCAATTTTAGAGGTATTTAGAGGAAAACACTAGGGTCTGAATGATGACAGTCTGATCTGTAGTACACACATAGACTGTTTAGGCAAACACATACACACACAGTATGTGCATATTGTTAGTTACAGCTGGATACCAATACAGTGAGGTGAAAAAAAGCTTTATGTTTAGTCTGAACACATCTTAAGGACAAATGCTGTAGACCTCCAGCAAGTCCAGCAAGTAACATGGCTAATCAACTTTAGCATCTGTGTCCTTTATTCCCTTGATTATATCCACAATATATGGAGGTTGTACGGGCTGAAGCGCTGTTTTTACACTCTGAACAGAAAATGAATGTTTCTTTAACCATTGCGAAAGGTCAGATTTTCATAAGGTTGTTCTCTTTGGACTTAACCGTCTTCTTGTCTTCTTTTAAACATTTAACAAAACAGACTTTTCTCTTGTCATGGTAATATCTAGGCTACTCTTGACTGCAACACTGCTGAAAAGTTGACTGTGGAGGACAATTTAAACTTGCCTTCTTGGTTTTTTTTAAAAGATTTGTTCTACACAAAGCTAAAGGGTGATTTATTGCGTTCTTGATTTATAAAGTAACAAGTAAGTAACTTAAATCTGGCTGAACTTTCCCTTTAACATAAAAGACATATCAGGATGCTGAAGACCACTCCAGGCCATTTTTCTACTCCATACTGTATATCATAATATATTTTAAATGTATGTTTTAGAGATACAGCAAATCTGAGTCATATCATTATGAATTGAAAGCTGTGGCATCATTTGAGCTGTATACTGCTTTTGATTCTCTCTAGCCACGTGGAATAGATAGAGACAATCCAATCATGTTAAATAGCCATTTTCCACCTTATTATATACACATCTGTGTGTTGGAAAAAGCATACAAACAAATCTGCTGCTGTTTTTTGGAGTCTGTCTATTTTGGAATTGCTGGGATTCAAATATTGTAAGTGGATCATTTATATTTGTACTGTTTACAACTTTCAAGTGCATGAGATGGACTAGCAAAGATCGATTCTTGTTATGAAAAAAAATCCTTCTACAGTATATATAAAAAGTATGTGAGCATTTTTGGATGATCTGATGAACTGTTGTCCATTGAGCAGTTTGATCTCAATATCTAATTAAGTTTTACGTCAGGCTTTGCAAATCTTTTCAACAGCTTGTTTGAGAGAATGATTGTTTCACAATATTTATAGATTATATAAAAAGATTAGAATAGCATTTAAATTTTAAAAAAAAGAGTTGCGACCTGTACACATGCTAGAGTTGACAACAACCTGACTGGGCAACCATCAAAGATCTAACATTAGTGCCAAGTGTACATAACAGATTGTAGACTATGTTTTATCGTCACTTGCCGTAATATCAATATTCCTTGTGAATTCTTTGACTTCTTTCTTTTGAATGTACAAATTGTGTTGTGTTTTTTTGTTGTTTCTGTTTTCTGTTAATTTTAATTTCTTTTTCGCCATTTTCCTTCTAATTGCATAAGCATTGATGCTGTGTTGTTTCTTTTCCTTGATTCCGTCCTTGTATTGTAGATGATAGCTCCAAAAAGCTTGTATTTAATGATGCCTTATGATCCATGGCTTAGTGATGAGTAGATTTTTGATCACAAGCTCTTTTATTTGCACTCATCCTTTACAAAGTGTATGACAATAAAAAGATGTTTTCATTTTGGACGTTTTCCCGTTTCTTTTATGTCATCTTTTATCTTAGTCAACCCTTATCCATATTTTACTTTGGTTGAAATTTTTAACCCATCTTTAAAGAGCAAATTTAGTGTCGAGTCAGTGCTTACCACCTAATTAATTGTTCCAAGAATTTATGAGTGGGATTAAGGATTGGGACCTTTAGTGATGTGATCTCTGTTCTGATTTTAAAAAGTGCAACTGTTGATGCTGTGTGTAGGCTACTCACGTTCTGAACACTTGAAGCGATCCTCCATACTACAAAACCCTCTCCACCCGTAGGCTTGAAAGGTGGCTATTAAAAGGCTATACCCTCATCTTTCACAGAGAACAGCGGCTGTAGTCAGAGTACATTCATGTACTCTGTAAAGTATTTTACAATTGTTTTCATGGCAGGAGACAGTATAGCTACTTGTAAATAATCCCCCAAAATCTACAGAAACTGGTTAAAGGAATAGCTTGACATTTTTGGTTAATGGCTTTCTTGGCAAGAGTTTGATAAAAAGACTGATGCCACACTCATATCTGTGGATCATCTCATGTATACACACCTGTAACATCCACAACTTCTTATTGTCACTGTATGGTTTCCAGGCAACCAGCAGAGACTTAAGGTTGTCACTGCACCTGGCAAAGAAACAGTCCAGCACACAATCTGTCATTTTTACATATTTTACAAACAGTATATATTCTTAATTAGTAAACATCCAAGGGGTTAGCAGGCAGATTTTGTTACAGAGCCAGGCTGTTTCTCCCTGTCTTTATGCTAAGCTAAGCTAACTGACTGCTGACTGTAGCCTTATATTTACCAGAGAGGTATGAGAATAATATCAAAACAGTATTCTCATTTAACTCATGGCAAGAAAGCAAATAAGGATATTTCCCCAAATGTTGACACCTTCTTTAAAATAATTCTTGCAGCAATATCCACTCTTCTGTCAGTCCATACACTCAGTATATTCCAAGCACTTCTAAACACCAGCTAAAAATACTGCTTCCACTTGTTGCTTATGCAGTGAACATATGACACAGCAAGCACCCACACTGCAGTTCTCTGTCAAAGAAGAAACACTGACCTAAAAAGACTAATTCACCTCCTGTTATAAATATTTTGAGCTTTTTTCACCATGGCTGAAGCATAGACTGTGGTAAACAGCCTCCTCTTGTAGCAGGAAACAGAGAGACATGTGGTTTAAACTGGTTTCTCTTCATAGTGACGAGACTAATCAATCCTCTAGCTCCACTGATCAAACTGTTGTGTTAAGGTTGAGGTTAGACACATCTGTATTTAAAGTTAACTGGTTTATTTATTTCTACTCTTTCTTTGAAAGTACCTGTTTCCATGACATTCATGAACTGAGCCCAGCTGGGTTCGTCATTCACAAGAGCTTCAACCTGAACGCAGTAACGTTACAAAGACATCGATAAGCAGGAAAAATACACGTACAATTCTCCTGAAACCTGAAAGTAATGTACAGTAATAGTATCAACGTCTGTTAGAGATAAATAATCTGCACTGATAGAGTTTGTTGCCTTTGATGCAACCTTTCAAACTGGTACTTGAGCTCTTTTTTTTTTTAACTATTAACAGCAATTTAAAAGTAACATAAAAGGAGTAATGTAGTAATGTATCAGAACGAAGCCAACAGAAATGTCTGGTATGGTATCAACAACATGCAAATCTTTGTAATAACACTGCTTTGCCATTTGCTTCTTAGGTTAAAAGGGAAGCTTTTTGGCCTTTGGAGCATCCCTCTGTGACCAAGAGGGGTGATTAATCCAAAACAAAGCATAGCTGGACAAAGGAGAAACCATTCTACATGCTTTTACACCTGCATAAATGTTTTTGTCCCTATCAAGATAGAATATCGATATAAAGATCATGTAAAAAGTGTAAATACAGTCTTCAATACCAATAAACAACTCTCTCAGCTTCCCACAAGTCTATATATAATGGTCACTTTATGTAACGTGGCTAGAAGCTCATTCCGTGCACATTTGGTGCAGAGGAAATCGACGTGTATAGGTCCACTTTTTACACTTTTAAAATTTGAGTGAAGCTGTTCAAACAAAATTCCGATATCTGGTGTGTTTCTGTCTTTCATTTGTCTCAACTCCTCTGTGAAGGCACTCGTATACTGATGACAGTGTGTGCATGATTGTGTGTGTGTGTTTTTGCATGGCATACAATGACAGACCTGTGATTCATTGGTTGAAGAGAGATAGTCAGTTAGTGAGCGCATGGAGTGGGAAAATGGAACGATAGATATTTGTTATGGACAGATGAGAGATCTACCCGTCTGCACAGCCAGTCCTCCTCCTTCTTCTTCTCTACCTCCACCTTGGAAGTTCAGCCTCAGCCACCGAAGCGTAAAAAATCCACATCACCCAATCTCAGGGAGGCTGAAGCCCATCAGAGCATGAATGTTTCTGTTCGAGATTCTTAAAAGTGTTAAAATCTGATAAGGTTCAGTGCATTTCTTGTTACAGTTCATACAGACGCAAAGAACATAAATAAAAACAATTGGGATTCAAGAGAAAATTAAACCACATTTTACATTTATAAAACAATAAACAAGAGCCATGAAATAATAACATATAAAATATATTGTTAGATGTTGACAAGCTCCTAAAGAATAAAACCACAAGTGTTAACTCCCTAATAAATCCCAAGGGATCAAAAGATTAGGTGGCACCACAGTATCACAAACTGTTGCTGAGGTTCGTGCACACACTGTGCTGGGAGATCATTTCACCTCTCAGTAGTTATAGTTACAGCTGTAGTTAATATAATAATTACAGAATAAATGAAAAAAACAAAACACTGAGTCCAAAGAAATTCATAATGAAAAATAAAAAATTCTCCACAAAGCGAAATATGTAAAGTCATTCAGAATATATTTCTTTTTCTTGTTTGCAAATTTTTTGTTTAATCCATGTGTTGTACTGTCTGAGCTGAAAGGAAATATAAAAGCAACAAGGCTGCAGGTAACAAAACTTAATTTCTGAATTTGGTTCATATAACAGATTAACTGTAGGAGTTTGTCCTTGTGGCAGCACCAAACAGAAATATCTAATGTTTCCAGAGAATAAAAGAAAATTCATTAACAATATCATAATATGGTAAGGTATTTGTAACAGAACTTCACTGAAGGTAAACTGCAGAAAGGTTTCAGGTCAGCAAAATGACAATGGTAAATGTGAGGTTTCTGTACTAACCATTCAACTATCTTTGGAGGAAAAGAACAAGTCTATAAGAAGCACAGATGCAAAATCTGCTGCCAACATTGGCCTCAAATGACCAGAATGTATCGCTGCCTCTAGCAATACTATGATTTACAAAGTGTGACTATGGATGTTTTACAAGAACTGGAAGCCATGTTCCAAGACCTATTCATTCAAATGAAAGCTACTTAATCAGTGCATAACCTAAAAAGTTTATTTTTTATTTTATTTTTTTTACCTGTTTGCTCATTGCATATTGTTGCTCTCTACATGTACTGTAACAACGTACAACCGATAGCAACAATTTCTTATGATGGTTTTTAAAGAGGTATTCTGGGAAATGTAGGAGATCACTAAGAGATGTAGAGGTAGGCATGGCAAGTTGTTAAAAAGTCTAAAATCTAAATAATAATAATAATCTTTATTTATAGAGCTTTAGTGCTTTAACAAGTGTAAAGAGAATAATAGCCGAAAGACAATAATACAATACAAAAACAATACAAGATAAAAGCATTAAATCATAGCACCATATGAGTGAATAACTCCTCATTCGCATCAAACATCACACACTGATAACAATTTAAGAAAAGTTTCTTCTTCCTCTAGGACCTTGATTAGATTAATGAGGCTAATTAGATGAAGCCAGTGTCCACTTTCCCCAAACATGATGTAGGTCTACAAAAACACACAATGTATATGGCTTCGAAAATAGCCAATTTAGGGCAGCAGATTAGCTCTGCAATATACCCTCAAAGGACTGTGGGGTTGTCTTTATTCATTTAAAGACACCCACGTGGCTTATTATGCTGGAGATGTATTTCATTAGACCAGCGGTTTGGAAGACAGTCAGAGAAGGAGAGAGAGAGCGAGAGAGAGAGCATAAGTACTATAAAATGTGCCATATAAGGATGATGTCCTAAAGGTTCAGCTTTACTGAGTCCAAAGCCGTGCCAGTAAGAAAACACTTGTTAAGCCTTGAGGCTAAGAAACATGCTGGCAACACCTGTACCATGTACATTGCAGTAAATCCCATGCAGCTGTTGACCTGATTCAGTGAGCAAATAAATGTAACATTTATGCCAGAATTACTCTCCTTATCAAATCAGGTGAAAATATCTTACTGACTGAATAATTACAACCAGCAAGGCAGCCTGTCTGACATATTTGGGGAAGAAGTTTTTGACCGTCAGACGGTGGTGATTTCACATCATGCTCAAGAGCCTGAGAGTGGTTGACTGTCTGACAGCCACTTGACAAATCCACACTGGTTTGAACTGTACATCCCAAAAATAAACCTTACATAATGCAAGAGGAGGGAGGATGTGACCCTTTCTTTCCCTCCAGCAGGCCCTATGCTGGCCCATCTGGCAGATAATGTGCAACGACAGTGCCACTCAGACTTGCTAAGATCCATTGTGGTTTTCCTGGATGCAAAGTTTTGAGTTCTGGTCTGCAGTATGTGGTGATAGATACTATAGACCTTTTAAAGCTGGTCCAGATCTTGAATTTCTTTTATGTTTAGAAATTAATGCTACTGTATGTCTTTCTTTTGCAATCATGTCAGTCTCATGTGCAGTCTGTATTTTTGGTAATGTCTGAACCTCATTAGTGAATTAGTGCTCTAGGCTTCTATGTTCTCATACAGTATGGTTATGTTCAGACAACATATAATGATGTTTTATTATTTGACCTTAAAGCCACCAAAAACTTGATTCCTCTATAATATTAAATATTCATTAAATGGTAACCGTCGGTAAAAGTAAAAGTTCA